GCTGTAAAACGTACTACAATTACATCGAGCAGGTACACAGCCACATCGGCATACCCATTTGCTGCTATGAGCGAAGTTGAGACATCCCTACAAAGAACAGCCTGATCGCAAAATACTGCTGGGGCTACATGTCGGCAAATTTGGGGTCTAGTCAAGGAGGTTGAAGAATCCAAATGGTCCTTTTGTTCTTTCACTTCACCGTACAGAAGAACTACAACCCCACTAGAGATGTAACTTTCATTCGTGTACACAATGATTTCATTCGGTTCCAAATAAAAATACAATGCCTCTTCCGCAATCAGCGTAAAAACTTCATCCGGCCAATCCGCTATAATTGAATCAGAAGAACGGAGGGCGTGGTGAATGGAGTTCGTTGTATACACCCGCATCGCATTCTCCCCAGGCCACCGCTTTCTTTTTCTTATCCTCAAAACTCTTCGCATAATCACAGGGCAAAGAAGCCTCCGCAAAACCTCCATTGCCTCCTGTGCCTCGGCTGAGTGAAAGTCTATCGGCTTGGGTGTTTGGGCCAAAAAAAACACACTCTCCCGCCGTGGCTTGGAGGGGCTCGGATAAATTGCTTCATAGCCGCTACGCACACCAGAGCTAACGGGCCGCGAACTTAACAATGGACTGTGCCTATGCTCCTGCACCCCATTCAGCTGATGGGAGATCGACGAAAATGATGTCATGGGCATGCGGAAAGGTGCAAAAAAGTAAATATAACAATATATTTAATCCGTTTCTTCAAAACACGTTGTATACGGCACACACACAGACAAACTAAGAGCAAGTGGCAAACAACAACAACAACAAAGCAATGAATGGCAATCAAAGCTAATATATATAGATATGGAACGCAGTGAAACTTAGTTTTGTGCCTTAAAAAAAAATGTGATGTTTCTGTGTCTGTGTCTATCTCTCTGTGTGTGTGTTTCTTTTTTTCCGCCCTCCTTTTCCCTTTTTATTCTTTGGATCTTCGGCTAATTATATCCTCCGCCACCCGGTACTCCGCTTTGTTTGGGAGAAGAAGGGCAGGGGGGTGGGGGATGAGGGGGAGGGCGGGGGTGGGGTGAGCCGGTGGTTCCTTCTGCGTCGACTCCGCCCTTCGCGCACAAGAAGAGAAGCAAGCAACAAAAAGGGGAGAATAAACGTGGATGCGTACGAGAAAAAGTGGCAACAACGGGAGACGATCACCCGCCGCCTCAAGGAGAAGAGGTGAAAGGAGGAAAGAAGGAAGGAAGGAAGGGGAAAAAACAAAACAACAACAATAAAGAGGGAACACAGATAAAAATTCCACACAATGAGCTTCTCAAAGTGGTTTCATCATTACACGCCACAGTGACATGGTGCTACACTGCGGGAACCAACTCGCCTCTCTCGCTCCCCCTTCAATATATACACAAATTCCCAATCCTTTGCCACACAAGGCAGCATAGGAAACTTGACTCCGATGATAATGGCGGGAAAAAAGAAAAAAAGCAGGAAAAGATGCCAGCAGAACTTAAACAAACATGCGGTGATGATGGAAAACAGCAATGAACCCACAGGAAAGAGTGGAATAATAACAACAACAACAAAAATCAGCCAATTCCAACGACACGGCTCTCGTATCTGTTTCCTTTTCTATGAGGCAGTCTTGAGTGCTGCAAGCCGCTCTGCAGCCTTCCTCTTGGCTTCCATTTTCACCTCTTCGGTGTCGCAATTAACACGTGCCTCCAGCGTGTCATGTAATTTGTCCACCACCGAAAGCAGCCATTCCACGCCCTCTTCCAGGGCAGGGTCCTCTTCAATGCCGCAGGATGCCACCACGCGATATGCCGTATTTCGTCCAAACAACTTGTCCAAAAATCCATTTGGGATGACTTTCGTGCCTCGTGCATTCTCTAAATCCTTTTTGTTGGCAAGCACTAAAATTGGCTTGCCTTTGATGTAACGGTGTTGTGAGAGATCTCGAAGAACATTGAGAGACTCCCTCACGACGGCATCATCTGCCGCTGAGTCTATAACAAACATAAGTCCATGACAATCATGGAAATAATGGACCCAAATGCCACGGAAATTTGCCGCCCCGCCCAGATCAAAGATGCAGATATCATATTTCTCAGTCTGGAATTTTGTCGGGGTGAAGCCAACCGTCGGGGTGGTGTTCACTTCAATTTGGCCGCCCAAAGCCGAAATGAGGGTTGTCTTGCCGGCATTATCAAGACCAAAGGTCCCTAAAGTGATCTTCTTGAGTGGCTCCACCGCACCGTTTACGGGTGGTGAGAGAACTGTGGGATCATACGACTGCTTGCTCTTCTCGGATTCCTCCACCTTTGAAAGCATTTCTCGGAGGTACTCAAACGGATTTTCGGGGCGATCCAGCAGTAACTTCGTCGCCAACAGCTCAAAGAGATGATGGACATTGTGTTGCTTGCAGTATGCAACGCGTTTTTCTTCTTCAGAAGAGGCCATCGGATGTTTTCTATATTTGGGATGATGTCGCAGCTCCTCAGACCCTCTTCTATCCCTCTCGCTTACTCACTCACTCACCAATACTCTTTTTTTTTTTTTTTTTACCCCCGCACGCAAAAGTAGTGCTGCAGAAGGCAGCGTGAAAGGCGGAGACAGGCAGAAAAGAGAAGTTAAACAAAAATACATAAATGAATAAATGTCAGTTCCGTGTAAACAACATCAATTCAAACTTCATAAAATTAGTAAACTGAGAAAAAACAAACAAACAAAAAATAAATAAATGAACATGATGTTTTGGCTGGAAAGAGATATAAATACACACACGCAAAGGCACATGGACAAAACAACAACAACAACAACAAAAAACACCCATTTTCCGCTCCTTCATTTTCCCCCGTGTGCTTGCCATTTGTATTTGTGCGTGTCAGTGTCTTTCCCCTAATTCCTCCAGCGAGTGGAGTTTAGTTTTGTCTTTTTGTTTTACACACCCTCAACTTCTTCCTTTTTTTTTTCTCTCTCTTTTTCTGCTCCCCTCGTCAACTCACTGCGTGCTGGAGGCCGTGTCCCACACCTTCCTCCTCCTCCCGGATGGCCTCCTTTGCCGTGCGAAGACATTCCTGCAGCTCGTACGACGCGACACTCGGATCGTAGCACTTTTGGCAGGTCTTGTCGTCTAGTAACATCTTAAACAACCGCACCACCTGCGTGCGTGTCCCGTCCGTCTGGAACAAGTTGTCATCCTTCCAGCGCACAAAGAACTTTGAAAGAACTGGCATAGCGCGATACTCCAACAAGTTCAGTGGCGTTGTTTGAGACGGAACAATATCTTCCAGCAGGCTCAGGATGTCGCCGGCAGTTTCGTAAAACTCGGGAAAGACATCCAACACGCCTATGGCTACGGGAATAAAATCAGCGTCCTCAATACGGGCATTTACCGTCTGTTTTCCCGACGCCTCGGGGGGAAGCCGCTGTGCATCGTGCAGCACACGAATATGCTGCGGGAGTCCTTTATATCGAGAAATGTTCAAATTATTAACGGCGGCCTGCACACCGTCGGCGTCAAGAAACTCTTTTCCACCCTCCTTTGGGTAATGCCGCATGATAGACGAAAGCACGAGCGTGATGTAGCGGGTATCTGTGGGGTCTCCGGTGCTTTGTTTGTAGGCCTCCACAATCGGTTTGACGCCGTTGGCCTGCAACACGCGGCGCTCCACATCACCATCCTCGCGTTGGGTGAAGCAAAACAGGCAGATGGATCGAAGTGCCATGACACGGGCGTATTCATCACGGCTATGAGTAAGAGCGCGAAAAACCAGCTCCACACCATTCCGCTTCTTCACGAAGTACTCCGTGAGCGTTGGGTACACGGAGATAAAGTTGATGAGACGCAGGAATTCGTCTGGTTGAAAAAAGACATGTTTTCGCATCTTCCTTGTCCCCTGGCCGAGAAAATCATCGATGGCGAAGTTGAGGAGGTCTCGTCCACCGGCTGCCAGAAGTTCCGACTCCGACAGGATGGGAACATCCAGCGAGAGATCCATGTGGTCCACCAGCACACGCGCCAAGTAGCCGTCAGCCAGTTCATTGTCCGCCCGCAGCGCCGCAAGCAGAAATCGCATTTGTTTCGGAAATTCAAGTGGACCAAATATCATATCAGGCGGGAGCTCAAGCGCCATCGTCTCGGGGTCAACGTCGTGCAGCTCAATCCACTCCATTGTCTTCAGCAGTGGCCTCCGCACCTTCGATACCACCGTCGCAGCCAACTCATCGAAGGGCTCCCGGTTAATAAAGTACATGGCGGCGCAGGTGCAGCTCAGCGCCCACGGCCAAATCTGATGAAATCGTTCCCGCGCACGTCCACGCGTAAACCACTCGGGGGCCCGTCGCATCATCCTCCCGGACGAGTTCTCCTAAAGGGCACCGTCTGTGATCGCCCCGCCCACCACCACCCCAACAACAGCACGGAGAAGAGAAAAGTCGAGAGCGAAGGAGGTTCAAAAATCAAAACAGAAGTAAACAACAAAAAAAACAAAAAAAATAATTCTAAAAAAAAAAACAAAAAAAAAAAGACGCCCGTCAACCAACAACAGCAACAAAAAAACAGGATAAAAGTGTCAAAAGGCCTCCCCCACCCACCCACACAGACATCGACAGCAGATTCCTCACGACGCAAACAACTCTCTTGGCTCTCTCCTCTTCCCATTCATTGGTGATGATTACTCTGTGGGAATCAAAGGAGCCAACACACGCTCATACGCTTCACGTTGCACCACCAAGTAGCCTTTCTCCTGGTGCACCACCGCGTGCCTCTCGCCGCCCGAGGAAAGAGCGTTCAACAACAACTCTTTCTGCACCGCAGTAACGTTTCGAAGCAGTACAAGATTTCGACTAAAAATAAGCCGCCGACACTCCTTCTCCCACGTCATCAGCTGGTCGCAAAACGATTGTGGAATGATTTCGTCAATACGGATATCAGAAGCGTTTTTGAAACGTGTTCCAGCACCCAAGACGGATAAGCCCGACGCTTTCTTGGAATCACCCTCTCTATGATGCCTCAACATGGACGGATGTGCCTTCACCGCAAGAAACTGTAAGATGTGCGAAGAGCCGATACCCCGCTTTAAAGCTGCAGCAAATGTCCTCCGCGTAACTCGGTAACAAGCAATCATCTGGTCTACTTCTGCATCCCTCTCCGCAAACTGATTGAGAATATTCAAAAGATCAGGATTTCTTGTGTAAGCATAGAGGCGAAAGTTCGCCTCTGTGATGATGGTGTCTTCATCCTCGCGGCGAACGCGACCCATCGAGTTCCCCCCGCTATCAAGCAGCGCAGCTGTGCAGAGCGGGGCCGTGGAGCTCCAGCAAACCGCATGATGAAAGTGAGGCGACAGCGCAAAGCAACGACGACCACCAGAAATGAGAGGATACACAAGCCCCACCTCCGACAGACGTGCCAGAATTTGAAAGGCGGCCAAATCCTTTTCCTTTTCCGGGAACGGGTAAACAAACTGACTGGTATCAAGAGCAAACAAAACGGCTAATAGTTGCCACAGTTCGGCACGCGTCACACCACTGTTTTTTGTCAGTACCAAAATGCGGTCGAGGGCCACGGAGACCAACGTCCACCATTGCTGCTGCAGGGGTTGCATGCAAAAACTCAACCCCTCAGAAGTAATTTCCCTCGTCTCTGACGAAGTTGGGACAAGGCGATAATACTGCAACATGGACGCAAGGGGCTGCCCCCGCTTCTCTCCGAACGGGTCAATAGATCCTGCGAGAGCACAGGCCGTCGACATGTGAAGAATACTTCGACTCGCATCCAACGTGTTTTGAAAAGAGAGCTGAGCAAGCGGCATTCGCGGCATCGCCTTTCCGTAAAATCGGGCATTTCCCGCCACCTCGTAGAGCCGCCAGTGAACATCGCCCCCCTGCACAGGATCCCATGCGCTCTCCAAGGCTGCTCGAAGGGTGCGCCAAAAGGGATGGAGAGTCGCCCCCTCCTCTACCGTAGCAAACACTCTCGCGGTGACTTCAGAGACTGTTGCGGCCGACAAAAGCACCGCCACCTCGTCCTTCGCAGATAAGGGGTCAACCACTCGCTTTCCACCCTGAATCGCGGCAACAAATTCCTGATAACAAAAAAGCGCGAGAGCTGGGCACTGTGTCATTAGACCCTCACGCTCCGGGTAGCCCAGCACCTGATCAAAATAGGAGGGATTCATCTTCTATTTGTATTTTTTGCTCCCTTTTTTTGTTTCCTTTTCCTTTTAATTATTCCCCTTCTGATCGCTCCTGCTTATTACTGCTGCTGCTGTGACTGCGGAAACGGATTTCTCCCCCTTGCGTCGCGTTACCTCTCAATTCCGTCTCCCCTTCCAAAGTCCATAAGTCCCAAACGTACATACAACGAAAAAATGGACACACACACACACACACACAGAAGAAAAAACAACAACAATGTTGCATACATGAATATATCTATACATCCATATAAAAAGATATGCCAGCAGGACCCCTGGGGATTAACGAGAAGGTCGCCGCAGTTGTCATCCCCGCCTCTTCTCTCCTTTTAACCATCACAAAAGACCACTCAAAATCCAAACAAACACTCCACACATTCCAACGATGACCAAAAACACACAACGGAATTCCGGTTACACGGCTGATAAATCAAGCACCAATTTGTGACAATTTGGGCGCCAGCAGCACTCCCCCCCCCCTCAAAAAAAAAAAAAAAAAAAAAAAAAAAAAAAAAAAAAAAAACGCTTGGGAAGTAAAATCAGTTCTTTATTGCGATAATGTCTTCACGTTGCTCGGGCGCAGAAAACGCCTTGGCGACATCGCCACTCTCAGCCTCGATGCCCGAGAAAAAGACACAACTTCCTTCACTTCCTCCTCATCGTACCACGGCTCCGCCTCCGTCTTGAATGGTGTTGCCACCGTGAGTGTGTTGATATCCGCTAGCGTCTGTGGAACAAATGCCCGGCTCGAGGACGCCGGCGGTGTGCGCGCCGTGCGCTTCGACAGCGTTGACGTCTGCTCAGAAGAATCCAATGTGGCTAATGTGGGTGACGTGGTGTGCCGCTGACAATTATTTGCTCCCGTCACTACCGTCCTCTTCCCAGCGCCATTACCAGCACCGAAGGAACTGTTCGGCGTCGGAAAGAGCCCAGAATGACTTCGACTCCAGGAAAAGTTTTCTGCTCCTATTTGCTTTTCCAAAAGACAACCGGTACCACTTTTTTCTCCTTGTTGTTGTTCTTCCTTTTCTCTATGCAGCCTCGCTTGCAGTGCCGCCATTTCCTCCTCTAAGACAATCTGAGGGTCATCCTGGGTTACCAATGAACTGGAGCGATCCCACCCATCCAATAACCGCCCCTGAAAACGAGTGCCTGCACTTTCCTTCAAGGGGACTTTCTGAGTTCTGGAAAGAAACTCAATCGCCTGATTTGCTGCGGATAACTCCTCCCGAAGGGCGGCGATGATTCTTTCCTTTTCTTCACACCGAAGCCTCTCCGCCATAAGAGCTTCCCTCAGCTCGGCAAGGTGCGTGCAGCAATTCCATTCGAACTCATTGGCCAACACCATTTTTCTATGATGGAGGCATGCCTGCAACTTTTCCACTTGTTCCCGAAGCTCCGCATTGCTGTCGTACAGGCGGATGAGCTCTTTTCGCATCGCGTCTGTCCCAGCACCGCCCTCCACTTGTTTTGTTACCGGTGCCGCCTTCACAGGCGATGCAGACCCGTTGGGAGGGGCGGTGCTGGCGCTGGAGCGGTTGCTAGGAAAGAAAAACTGATGCTTTGCCGGTAGAGGCGAGCTTTCAAGCCACGTGCGCCTGTTGGGCAGAAGCAAATGCGCATCCGCCTCATGCGTTGCTTCCCTCTTGTCACGACCCCCCTCCAATGCAGCATTTGACGACAGAGACTCCATCTCTACGTATAATGTAGGGTTTTTACTGCCCCCTATCACCCTGTGTGTGTGTGTGTGTGTACGTTTGTGTGAGCCTCTTGAAGCTCTTTACTCACTCTTTATCACTGTACTAGCCACGCAGATAAAAGAAAACCGTGAAACGACGACAACAACAACAAAAAAAAAGAATTGTGTGAGTAAGACCATGAATCACCACCCCGTGCTGGCTGCCGAACGTTTTGGGAACACAACTTTCAAATAATATACGCGCTCCCCGTCCTTTACTTACCACATATATCGCTGGTCCATAATTTTCTCATTAGATCAGTGCGCTTTCCATTTCTCGTTTCCTCTGGTTGTACCAAATGCAAACTTACACACTCACACTCAAGTACGTAAAAAAAAGAAAAAAAAAACGCCTGTGCCTTACTTTTCTTTTTTCAAAAGCCGATAAAAAGTAAAACGCTCGTTATTTTCTTCAGGATTCCCTTTATTCAGCGACATGCAGGTCGGTACAATCGTCAGTGAAGAGCCCAACAAGACTCCACATTTTATCCGTCACCGTTATTTGACAACGCCAACGTGGTGCACAAATCGTATTTCCTCCGCCACCCGCACGGGGACGAAGGCAGGTTGGGTTTGGCATAGTCCTCAAAACTGGGCACCCGCAGCAGTCTCTACAGCAGTAAATCAGGAAGGATGATAGATTGCAATGCTCTTCCCACACAGACGCAGAGCCAAAGCATTCCTCTCAAAACTCTCAAGGAAAAACAAACACAAAAAATATACACGCAGAAAAAACACATTTTATAAATTGAAAAAAAAAAAAAGAAAATTTTTTCTTTTTTTTTAGGATGCCCACACGCAAAAACTCTGTTTGGCGTGGCTCACGTTGTGGTGCCATTCTCAATGCGAGAAACGTGGTTCAGTTGTATCGTCGCGTGTGCCAGGCCCAACCTTTTGCACCGCATGGCGGCTTCTTCAACCAATTCTTTAGCCTCACGAATTGTTGAGCATCCCGCAACGGTCAGGTGCGCCGAGAGAAGATGAAAATTCGGCCCAACCGACCACATGTGCAAATCATCAATCCTCTCGACGTTTTCTACACCCAGAAGCGCATCCCGTACACCGTCATAGCTCACGGAAGCGGGGACTTCCTCGAGGAGCACAGAAACTACTTCCTTGAAAAGGTCGCGTGTCGTGTAAATAGTGATAAGGCCAAAAAGGAAGGAAAAAAAGGGATCGGCTAAATTGTAGTAACTATTTGCACTCTTAGCGCTACCTTGCGTTTTAAGGTTCCCAAACCAAATGATTGATGCAGCCACCACGACCCCAAAGGCCTGGATACAATCCCCAAAAACATGTAGCATTGCCGCGCGCAGATTCATACTTCCGGACCCACAGTGATACGAATGACCATCTCCCAAAGGCGGATTCACGAATTCCGAGTGTGAAGTCACAAGCTGAAAGTGTGAAGAATTACCGATGCCGCACTCTGTTTCGATGACAACGCTTTCAATGTCCTGAGAAATCTCGTGGCTGTGGTCATGCAAGGCATCGAGGCTGTGGTGGTGTTCATGAACGTCTGCACCGCTATGCAACAAGCCGTGACTGTGTCCGTGAGCCCCGCCAAATCTCAAAATAATAGCCAACACAACGTTCATTAACAATCCAAAGACCCCAACAACAAAAATCAGTTCCGCGTCAATTTCATCACAGTTTTTTCTATTCTTGTTGCTGGCGCACAATAGTATTATAATTGTGCGTTTGATTGCACCAAAAACAATCCAGCCCGCAAGGCCCCATGTTGTTAAAATAGAGCAGAGCGCACCAACAACCTCAACGCGTCCCCAGCCGTACGTAGTTATCGTCGTTGCACTCCAAGAGGAAGCATACACGGCAAAGAGAGAGATTGAAAGAGCAAAGACATCAGCAAGCATGTGCACCGCATCAGAAAGAACAGCAAGGCTGTTTGCAATAAAACCACATATCCCTTCAACGCACATCATAATCATACAAAAAATAACAGCACGGATAAGAGCACGACGCGGCTTATCCTCCACTGCACGAGGAGTATGCGGAGCCATCACGCAGTGGACGTCATTAGACCTCATAGATGAATGAACGTAACCTTCCATTACAGCTGCTTCCTCGTTTGTGCTGAACAAAGAGAAAATATGCGCTTAAATGAGGGTTTGCCCCTTCTTCTTAAAAAGAAGGAAAGTAAAAGAATGGGAGGCCACAGCTTCACTCAATGAACCAAACATCCCCTAACCCCCTCAAGTAATACGAGATGAGTTGTCCAACAAACGGGCACCGGCAAGCAAACCAGTTCGAAAGAATTATTTTATTATAGCCGGGCTAGTTGTAAATTTACAAAGTGGCAGCTTTCATTAAAAAGGCCATCACTCCAACCGTCGGAACGCCCTGCGCGTGGAGGGTAATAAATAAATTGGATGGGCCGACAGGTTAAAGAGAGAGAGGGGGGAAGGGAAGAAAAAATAAAATAAAATAAAATAAAAAATGCACGCTCGCCAACTTCCAAATCGCGGCATGGCTGGAAGCAAAAATCAAGTATTCAACTGATAACACAAAAGATCTCAGACAAGACAGCCACGCATTTATTTAGCCCCATCTGGTCGCACATTGTTCCCACGCAATTCTATAAAATAAGGGCCATATTTTCTGCCAAATTTGGATTATTATGTCTTTTGGGCATTTATTCTCTTGTGTGCCTCTTGTCAGCCGTCCGTTCACCTACGCCTCGCACATTTCCGTAAAGAAAAGAAATGATCATGACCACAATTACTTGGACGCATTGCAGGTCCATTTCATAACATACCCCTTTCTTTCCCAAGCTCTTTTACTTTTCCATCTATACGTATGACTATACATGTATTATGTAATGATCTCAACTCGCATCGTCACTATCTTCATCAGCTTCTCCGTCGTACTCCAAAATGCTCCATCGACTCGCCCGGGTGGTTTGGAACGTTACGTTCCTCTTCAAACTATCACGTGAAAGAGAATTCTCTTGCGGTACTCGGGAATCATTCACCCGGTTTATCTTCTGGTATATGCCAAATTCCGTTTCTGTACGAATTTCCTCACTAATAAAAGGTGCATTCGCAACATCTCCGTATTCCGCCTCGTAGTCCTCCTCTCGCATTTGTGAGGGACGCGGCGGTCGGTTGACATGAATGCTGCGCCTCAACGCCTCAAGGAGATGCGCTGGTGAAGCTGTTCCCGCATTCAAAGGGCTTTCCGCCTCATCTTCTTTTACTGTTGAAGTTGTCTTCTTTTTCTCTGACACCGCGGGGGTGTATGCTGGTGCCAGCGCCTCCCGCATCGCCGACTTGGAGAGTGGCTGGTGGTCCGCCGCTTTGGCACCAGGTGGTAATTCCGGCACTACGCCATCCACGGCCTTCCCGTGTGTGGGTACCACGTCGATGTCGAAGGGGACGTCGATCCACCGTCGGTGCTGTGCAAAAAACTCTGCCTGCATCTCCTGTATTTTTCCCAAGAGCGCGTCTCGTGCCTCCGCAATGGCAACATCTCTCTTCATCTCCTCTTCGCTACGAAGCGAAAACTCGACCGCATCCAAAGCCTCGTCATCATCATCATCGTCCTCGTCAGTACTGCTATCCCCCAACTGCTCACCGACATCTTCATTCCCGCGGCTGTTGTTCGCCGCACCATTTTCGGGTGGGCGAGGGCCAAACGTACTGGGCAGGTTCTTTCGGACGGCGGTGTAGATTTGTTCCACCTCGTCCCGCAGGGAGTCCCTTGTGATGTCAAATTGAGAGGGAGCCGCGGCACGATTCTTCGGTTTCCCACTCATCTTTTGGGTAATTTGAATTCGGGCACTTGCACCCGCGGCGGCTGCACTTTTGGTCGCATCGTTGGCAGCCTCTTCACGCAGACGCCACGTGAAGTAAAGCGCGCGCTCTCGGCATAATTGTGCATCGAATAGGCTGAAGTCGACGTGCGCCACCTCCCGTCTCTCGTCCTCAGTTTGCGGGTGGAGAAGCGCGTCTCTGACGCAGCGCGCCACCTTTTCCCACGGTTCATCGGGATCGCCCTCAAAGAAAGAGACCGCGTCCAGCGGCGCGTGAAAACGTGCGGCAAGCAGCAGAATGTAATTATCTATGAACGCACTGAACCCCTGACTAAACCCTGGCATACTGTCCACGTATTCTCCGTATTACTATTACTATTTTTTCCTTGTGTCCTCCGTTGCAACCAAGAAATGCAACTGCAAACTATGCACGCGGCCGACCGACGCAACCGCGCCTCCCACTCCCCCTTTTTTCTTCCTTTTTTTTTTGGATTCCATTTCCCCGCACACCGGAAGATAAGAGCAAAAAAAAAAAAAAAAAAAAGAAAGGAAAGTCAAAGACGGCACCGGCAAAACGGACTACACCGGCGTATATTTACAGTAAAACACCGATAGCGAGAGACGGAAAAGGAGGGATGAAAACAGAAAGACGACGTATTACTGAAAACCATATAATAATGTAGGCGCCTACGTGCACAAGAAAAAAAAAACAAACAAACAAACAAACGCAAAACAATCAACAATCATAAGTGTGTGTTATTCAAATATGTCGCGGCCAGTAAGGGGCCCTTCCCCTCCCTGAAGACATCTCACACATTCACATGTGACATCCTTCGGTCACGTCAAGAAGACAAGCAACAAACAAACAAAAAGAAAAAGTGCACAGGAATGGGAAATGAAAAGGCCAAAAAGAAATTTTTAGATTTACGTATGAATAAATACGCACATGTGTGTATATATACATACGCCCCTGATCCGTGACTTGTCCCCGCCGTCCTTCCGGGGACGTCCCGTGCATGGCAGGGAGTCGCAATGGGGGGGGGGGGGGGGGGTTGAACGACACGCCACGCAGCCAACAAACGGCAGAAAAGAAAAAAGAAGAGAAGTAAAGAAAAAGGGTAGTTTACGTCAGTCATCGGAAAACATCAAATAATAAAAAAAAAAAGAAAAATGAACAAATGCCCGAAAAAAAAAAAAAAACATATAAAACAAAAACAAACAAAGAAAAAAATCGCAGCAGACTTGAGCGGTGCAACAAGCCAGTGGATGTACGCAAAATAAAGGGGACCAAAAAAAGAAAAAAAGAAGCAAGCACCGCACCACGGAAGAATAACGGAAAAAACAAGGCAAAAACGAAGAATACACAAAACATATAAACACCAAAGAAAAACGCGGAGAACACATAAAAGGATTTATACTCAACACGCATGGAAAATCAGCTCCCCGTGCCACCCCAGAAGAAAAAGAAAAAAAAAAAAGGAGGCAGTAGAACAAAATGACTCCCATGACAAATCACGGTAATGGACCCGCTTCCTCTTTATTGCGTATTTTATACTTCATTCCTCCACCGGATTTCGTGCAGGGGAACGCGGCCGTCGTGCATTCAATGGAAACACCCGCCGATTTTTTTCCCTCTCAACCTCGTTGAGCCATTGCTGAATGGCATCGCTCTTTTTCCGAATCCCCGTAACGTCGATGCTTTCCAGCCTCAGTGGCAAGAGGCTGCGCCGGGAAAGACCCTTCGGGCACGTCGAGGCCTTCTCACTCCCGGTCACTGAATGCCTGTAACCTTCGGAAACCACAGAACCCCGCAAGGGACGGTTGACATCTTCATCCATGCTTCTGTCAATGACTGTTTTTCGGTGAATAGGGCTGCTGGAAACTTTAGAGCTCTCTTTTCGAGAACAATGGTCAATACTCGGTGAAGGGGCTACTTTTGCTGACTCAGAGTGGGGTGGAGGTCGCTTAAAAACAACAAAACCACTGGGTGAACTAACAGCTCTTTGTTCAACTTGCACCACAGTTTCATCCAAAGAATTGTTACGAGAGACCAAACGTCCCCTAGAACAATTGTTCCTGCTATTATTATCATTGTTATTACCCTTGTAGATATTCTCCTCTTCCCTACGCTCCGAATGGGCCGTACCATTAGAGAAGCCCACAACAGAGGCTTGACGATTTGAGGAGGTTGTAATGTAAGCAACTTGCGGTGAGTGTGAAATAACAATGACTTCATCCCATTCTTCCGGGTTTGCTGTAAAAAAAAGGCTGCGGACGGCGTTGTTTGTTGACATTTTCTCGGGCCTCACAAAGTTGTCACGAAGCTTATTACTTCTCTTGGCCGAAACAACTGAAAAGGGAGTGACGCCATCCTCGCAACTGCCAGAGGAATCCCTCCGGCAAACCCGCGAGTGAGTGCGTTTTGTTTCCACATCTTTTCCGGATTTATTCCCCTCCTTTGCCGCCGCCAAGCCCATTTGTAAGCAGGGCTTCCAATCCCCTGGATGTAATCTCGCGTGTAAGTCCAAGCCGCCAATTCTCCTCTCCATCAACCGCCGGGAAGAAAGGAGTAAAAGCCAAAAAATGAGAGGGCCCAGGCTCCGCGGGATACCCTCCTCCTTCTGCCTCTGTTCAAGCACGCACGCGCACAACAATACGACAAAAGTGTTAAAAGACTATATATATACACATATATATATACACGCACCTATGCGATCTGCGTCTCTCCCGACTGCTTGACTTGTCGGCAGCCGATTCGGCTTTTATTTCCCCTAACCCTCTCTGCTACCTTCCAACAACTGAAGACAAACATACACACCAACAAAACAAAACAAAAAACAAAGCCAAAGGAGAAGAAGAAAAAATAAGAAAAAATAAAGGCAAAGAAGCTGCCAGTAGTGATGGCAGCGGGTGAGGTCGCGGCTCGGTGTTTTTTTTGTCTTTTTCGTTTTCTCTCACCAGTCCGACTGGTCCTCGCTTCACCTTGACAATAAAAGGCACATAAAAAAAGATACACAAGGAAACAGAGAAACGCTCCCTCTCACTCTCAGGTCATCGCAGGCAAAAAAAAAAAAAACAACAAACAAGCCTGGATTTATTTCCCTTTTCTTCCATTTGTAAGATATGGCTTTTGACGTGACAGAATCAATTTTTCAAGAGAATGAAAGCCGGATAGGGCAAATAAAATAAACACCAAAAATATACACCGGCCGTGCCCGTTCAGTGTGTTAAACTCCGCATCTCAGAGAGTCCCACCCCACCCCAGTCACTCGGTTTCTTGTTTGTCTCTTTCCACTTCCAATTTATTCCTTTTTTTTTCTTTTCTTTTATTCTTCTAAACAAGCAAAACACTCAGGGTATAAATCGGGTCTTGGCACGGCCTACCACAGAGCCTCTGGTTCAAAACCGGTGCGTACACTTATGAAGGGGAGATGGAAGAGCGGGAACGTCGAGAAGCACACAAGCATACATATAAATCTCGGCCACTTCCTTCTTCCAAATAACTTAGGTAACTCCCCTGTCACTCCTCATCGCACCATCGTTTCTTTCAGAGTTTGGTATGCCGTGTGAATTTCTTTGAATTTTTGCTCGGCAGCTTCGTGTTCTCCCGGACCAGAGCCGATCCATCTGTCAGGGTGCCACCGCAACGCTGCCTCGCGATACGCCCTCGTCAGTGACCTCGCGTCTAATCCGGCGGTGTTCTCCAACCCCAGCACCTTCGTACAGTGCGCCTTTGAGTTCTCTGACGCAAAGATATTTGGAGCGTCTCCGCTGTGGCCGTATGTCTTTTGCCGTGGCCCACCAGAAGCACTGTTTGCATCATTGGAACAGAACCTCGGGGTTTCATTGGGATTCCTCCCCCTGTCTGTGTCCTCGTTACCGTCACTGGAACGAGAATCTTTGCTCCGCTCTTCCCTTTCCTTTAGTTTCATTGCCTCAGCAAGTTGCTGTCGATTTTCATCGGTTGGGGCAAGCTCTACGGCTCTTCTAAGGTCGTTAATCGCAAATTGAAGATAGTCAATACCCACCCTGGCCTTATCACGCATAAAATGGAGATAAATACGTGCTCGACGTGCATACACCTTGGCATTGTTACCATTAATCTGAATGGAACGGTGAACATCACTCAAAGCATCGTTCCATCGACCACATTGCATGGAAGCGGCGGCACGATTACAGTACGTAACGGCAATAAGTGATTTATTAAGTGGATCAAGTGTGAGGCATCGCGTGTACGCCGTATATGCTTCCATCCAATCACCACTTTCGTACGCTGTATTACCCCGGTCGCGATGATGCTCAAAAGAGACCACGGTACGCTCGAGATGAGTATAACGGCTGTCTTGAGAACAGCCTTCAATTTCTTTCTGGCGACAAGCGGCCTGAACAAGTTCCAAAATTTCCCCTGTTGAGTTCGGATCGTGCACACAATAAAACAGGCACTTTGCATGGAGAAATAGAAGCTCCGCGTATTTTGGATAGGCTTTTCGAAGCCTCTTAATATCCTCCAACGTACGCCAAGAGTCCAAATTTAGAAGGGCCTCTAACTTGCGGCACTGCCACGGCAGGCCAACTACTCCTGTGGAGCCAAATGCACGAAGCAACTGATCAGCACACTCTACGCTGTCAATCCAACGGCACTCCTTCATGTAAACGTAGTACATCTCATAAGCACGCAGAGCCTTCATCTCCTCCGCAATTGCACGCTCTTCCACTAGATTTACACACATTTCACGGGCAACACGGTAGTGGCGTCTTGCAGCTTGAACATTATTTGTGTAAAGGAGGGCCTTCGCCGCTCGCCAATGCGCCTTGAGGTTGGAAGGAGAGCGACTCAACACAGACTCGCAGTCCATAAGAGTAAGAACGTATTGATTGAGAAGAAAATACGCTGCCGCTCGATTACAAAGAATAATATCGTTTTCAGGATCCCGCTCAATCGCCTCACTGTACGCCTTGACTGCGGCCTCGTACTGCTTATTCCGCATACACCTGTTTCCTCGTTCACGGCAGACTTGTATGAACTCGGAGTCAGGATTAAAAGAGCGGGAACGTCGAGTGGTATAACCGGATCGTTTTCTGCCCTGTTTCTTCCATTCCTCGCTGCCTTGATGTAAATGACCGATACTGCTGCTTTGCTGCTTCCCTGACCCCTGAACAGCGGAGGCACACGGGGTGTGTGGTGCGGAAGATGATGACGCTGCCACCGCCGCCCTCGCCGCGTCAACTGCCACTGCGGCAGCTTCAGTTGACTCACGTAGACCTGGAACAATTTCCTGTAGCCTGCTTTTTCTTACATCCCGTCGCACTGTTAGTGCAGGACGATACGTCATGCGAATTTTATTCATTGAATCAGGTGAAACGCGGCATTTCGATTGCGTCTGTTGCCTTGAGGGACGTAACATACGCCGCACCACAACGGAAACACCAACCCCTGCTGCATCCACCACTTCAACCTCCTTGTCAGTCAAATTAAACTCCTTCATTTCCTTCGGCTCGAGATCTCCACAATGACTGGTGATACTGTCGTGATCGCCGCCACACATGCAATCTCTTCGGGAGGCTTTGGCCGTGGCAGGGCGTTTGGTCTTTGGACGTTCGGGTACCATGGCGACACCGTAAACATAGAAGCGTTCTGTATTTTTTTGCGGACGTCTCGGTGTCGAAGAACTAGCAGGGCGTTTCTTGTTCGTCGTGCCAGCCCTTGGGGAGCTCGATTTCCTATCCATCCATCCTTCCATGGAAACACTTGTAAATTGAGGGTCTGTTTCCAATGCGGATGCTGAACGACGATGAAATAACTCACCATTTCGGCTAGGAGCAAAAAATGCACTCGCTGCTCGGCATTCATTTGAAGGCACATTGCCCTTCACCTCGTTGTGGTCATTTGATGTTGAAGAAACGGCACGATAAACAGAAGCCAAGTTTGAGCTTTCCGAGGTGCAGTCCGAAGAGAGCGTGTTTACTTCGCTGCTTGTCCGCCCCTCTTCAGTCAAACATGCCTGAAGGCAATTGGTGGCACTGGATCTTAACTCCACTGCCTCCCGCAACTCTTCTTCAAGTCCCCCAAGACGGGTTTCCTCACCGGCACCACGGCACTTCGCTATTTGCTCCAAAATCAAGGCGCTCAGCTGTTCCAACACGCGTAGTTGACGACGCAGCAACGGTTCCTGGGATCCGCTGCGGTCCTCAGTGGGGACAAAAGGTTGTTTTTCTTCTTTCTGGGCCGCGGCGTACTCGGCTGCCAAATTTATATCCCTCTTCAGCCCAACTTCCCGGCATTGCTGCAAATCACTTGAGGCCGTGTCGGTGCCAAGCATCACTGCTGTCACGCCCCACCCCTGCAGTCGCTCCTGCATTGCCCCGAGCCGCTCCTCAAGGGACTCGATCACAACCCAGCGCAGCGCCCCGCCAAGGTGACGCACACTCATCGCTGCTTGAATCCCCGTGGACGATGTCGTCGGGGATGTAACAAGGCGACACAACAGAGAGAGAAAAAAAGAAAGAGAGAAAGCGAGAGAGATTAATAAGCCTATGAGGAATTGTGATGCCAGCAACGGCAAGCCAAGGCACGTGCAACACCAAAATGCACCACACTGTCCTTCCTTTCCCTCTTAATAGGGGGCAGATTTTCCCTCTCGAATGATACGATCCACACCGACCCTCACCCTAGAAAACATACACACACATGCAAACGCCGAAGCCTCCTTCTACTCCCTCCCTCAGCCCTTACTAAAACTTGCCCGCGGAGGCTGAGGGAGGAAAGCCCCGGCTGAAGAAGTGGGGAGTGGAATGGGAGGCGTAAGCGCGAAGCTCGGCGCGCGGGAAAACAGCTGGAGGCATCAAAAGAAAAAAAACCCGCGGAGACCGCCTCACTCGTAAAAAGAAAAAAAAAAGCATCACACACATAAAAAAACAAACAAACAAAAAGAAAAATTGGCGCCCTGCGGTCGTCTGCGTTGAAACAACAAACCATTAAAAAGCAGCAGACAAACTCAATACAGAAGCGAGGGGGGCAGGCGGCCTTGGGGTGGAAAAAAAAAAGGGGGACTAACGGTTTACTTCTTCGCTCTCTTTCTTTCTTTCTTTTTTTTACTTTTCTATTTTTTTTTTTTTCATTTTAACTATCAGACGGCGGGCGTCGGCTATTCGGCGGTTGATTGCCTTTACGCCGTCGCATATCACGAGTGGGCAAACCACTGGAACTGTTCTCTTCCCCGCCGTTCCTAAAGGCCGTGACGATGTCCCTCACCGGCGAAACAAAAGACGCCCCTCCGTCCGAATTCAAGGATGGTGCAAAAACCAATTCCGCGGGAGGAGTATCAAGTGCCTGTACTACGTCTTTCCCCTCCCTGCGTCGTTTAACGCACTCCTCAAGCGAGGATCTATTATTCTCAATACATTGAATCATGTTGTCAAGAATGGCAACTTCGCCCTGCGGTCGGGCAATAGATAAACCGTGTAACACAACTTCATAGATGGCGTCAATTCCATGTTTTCGTACGTAACAACCATCCGCCGTGTTGCAGATGGAAGGTTGATTCCTTAATAGCTGTGCCTCGTTTTGTTGTTTTTCAGCATCTTTGTTGAAATTGGCATCTCCACCCCGAAAAACATGTAAAGACTTTAAATAACGTTTCTTGCAGTACTCTGAATGAAGAAAACTAAGCGTATTCATTGTGCCACCGTAGTTAAATAACATCAGCGAGGCGGAACGCCACGGTTCCTCCCTACAATCGGTGTGCCATGAAATTAACACCGCTAAGCGGTATGCTTTGGCTGCCGTCATATCATTCGTAGCGACCAGTGTCTTCAAGAATGATGCATACGTTTCCGCCGGATCACGCCCGGCCACCTTAAATGTCGGCAAAAGAGCAGCACGGTGTATGCCTACACCGCTATCACGACCCACAACGTGAGACACAAACAAATCTGCACTTTGATTATAAGGCATCTCTCGAGCGGTTAAAACTTTTTTGCCTTTCCCATTTGGCGGCGACGATGATCTTGTGGATGTGATGCTTTCATTCTCTGCAAAGACTACCTCATGAATAAAAAGGGCAGTTGCCCCGTTTTGCATTGAATCTTTGCCCTTCAAGAATGCATATGTCGGAATACCAGCGTGAAAGGTACCCAATGCCTTCTGTATCCAGTGCTCCCATGGGACATTCTGCCATAATTCCCCATATTCTACCTTATTAGCTCCCTTCAAAGGTCGACTGCGTGTCTTGTCCCCCACGGAGACACATCCAATATCGCTGGTATTTACATAAGTCACCATATTTGTTCTTGAACAGGTGGTTTCTTCAACTACACTCATGGTAGGCCGAACAACGATTGGAGCGGCAACGCGTGTAATAACGGGGGAATTCGCAACGGGGTTAGACCAAGGAACCTCTGCCGAAGAAATTAGGTCCCACGGACGATTGGCCTTAAAAACTGCCCATTGAAGTAGACAAGAGGCCCCATCTGCCGGATTCCAAAGTGCAGGAAAAGGAATGGGAATGTGGTCCGGAGCCCAAGTGTCAATGATGCAGATTTGACCCACCTCGGACGGTGGTACGTGTGGTTTTAACGCAGGTCTGGGGAGAAACCCCTCAATAGGACTTAGTAGACGCTGATAAAGTTTTCCAAGAAGACCAGCCCAACGAGATCGAATAACCCTCCGCATTTTCATGGCATCTTTTGGAGCATACGTTTGGGACATAACTTCATAGAGGCGTTCAAGTTCTTTCAGTTCCCGGTCAGCGTGTTCGTCCACAACAATAGGTGCAATCTTCACATCACCGTCTCTTACAACATATGCATAGACTTGATTGCAGGAGGTTTGACTGTACATAACGATGCTCACAGACTGCTGGAGACTGTATTCTCGTAGCTGATGCGCAAGAATACTTGGGCCATTGGCTGTGATCCACCGTATTGTGAGGTCCAACGCAGGAAACTGTTGGAATTCACTAATTGGGGATGATTTTCTATTGGAAGAATTGCTCTCCTTCTGATGGTGTGTGGAGTTTCGGACCATAAGTAATTCCTTCCCGGCATTAAAGAGCAGTCTCCCCAATGCTGTATCGAGTGCGTTAAAAACATGTTCTTTTTCAATAAACCATTGCTCACTCTCGCTCCATGCGCGGTGCCCAATCAGTAACAGCTTCTTCAGCGAGGCAGGGCTGGGGGGATTCAAAATGTAGCTTTCCATAGCGCGCATAAGGGTGCTGTGTACATCACGCACTCGGGATTTCAGTTCAGACTCCAGACGTTTTTTATCTGTCAAATTTCCCACCGTTCTACCATATCGTTCTCTTGCGAGTTCCCACGCACGATACACCGTTTGTAGTTCCTGAATGGTTATATCAAGCAGAGAATCTTCTTCAGAGCATAAATCCTTGGTTGAAGACTCCATCACTGCGGTGCTTTGGATGCTTTCCAATGACGCGGTTCGCGAGGAATCAGGATTGCTGTTAACCTCACCGGAATCCGCATCCTGCGGTAAGCCAATCTCATTCAGCAAAATTCCATTGTCGGCAAGATCCTCTGGAATTAGTTCCATTTGTTTGTAACTTGGTGTCACTGCACGAACAAGCTCACTCTTGTCCGTTTTCTTTGTGTTCTCCGCACTGTACACTTTCTTTGCGTGACGTATCAGCCATATGGGGGATGTGTCGTCCCGCCACTGTGGAGGGGTGTTGATAACATTCAGAAAAAACTCGGCGTGTGTCTCAATCCACCTCATCAGACCTGGTTCTTCCTCCTGTATCGTGTTGAGTATCTCCTTCAGCCGGCCGGGGTCACGATCGACGTATTCCACGATGCACACCATCACGGGGTGGTCTTGGAAGGACTCGGGAAGATGGCCGTACTGGCCCTTCGCAACCAGAAAGAGATGGTGCAGGCCACGTCGACCAAGCATGAACACCAGCGGCTTAAGGAATCGGTACAATCCTCTGTCGCTTGAGCCGCATCGGATGTACATGCCGTCATCCGCAGCGGAGGCCACGGGGGTGAGGAGGGGTTTTTTCTTTTCTGCGGCCCCATCCGCGGCGGGGGAGCCTTTCGACGTGTCCACGCCCTTCGCCCTCGAGGGGTGAGTCTTTTGTCTCAGTGCCGGCTTCCCCACCACCAACACGCTGCCGCCCTTTGGAACGGTGACTTGGGCACGCAGGCGTTGGTTGGGCTCGGAGTCCTCCGGCTTCCACATGTATACGAGTCGCCTCCCGACAAATAGTTTGATTGTGCTGCGCTCAAGGTGCAGCTGATCGACAGCAGCGTCCACCAGGCGCTGCGCAGTGAACGGGGGGTCGACAGTACATTTTCTGCCGGATACTGTTTTCAGTTCAACTGCCAGTGGTGTTCCTGGCTGCGACATTTCTCCTGAGGGGCAAGACGGAGAGCACGCACCACAGCTGCACAACACGCCCCTTCCCCGTGCAAGAAAACACCTGTTATATGTGTAGTGTATGACACTTATTTGCGAATTACTTAAAGAGAGAGAGTGAGTGAGAGTGATGCGCTCCCTCCCCTTTCTTCTTTTCGTGTCGCCCTGCCACCGTTTGCTGCACGCTGACGAGACAAGGAAGAATGCGTCCGGCAAACTCACACACACACACACACACACGAGCAAACAACTAGAAACAACTTCCTAAACAACAACAAAAAAGAAGTAAGGGCAGAAAAAAGAGACTTCAAGTGTGCCGCAAAGAATTTCCTCGCACCGCCACTCACGGTGGTGCGTGTCTCTGCAGGTGAAGAGCGAGTGCAAAAGGGCGAGGCGGGCCTCATAGCAGAAGAAATCGGAGAGTAATAAACAATATGGGCGGCAGGGGAAGAAGAGCCAGAAACAAACAAACAAAAAAACAAAGAAAAACAAAAAGGAAAGAAAAGCCAAACGATGGGGCAGGCTGCATTACAAGGTAGCAACCGCACGCGGGGCTTGAAGGAGCACAGAGATGCGCCCCTCCCGTCGCACAAACAGACAAAAAAAAACGCACAGTACATATGTGTGCATCAAATGAAATGATGCCGCATTACAAAATATTTAAATACCTCCCACCCACTGGGCGGTGTTTGTATGCATAACATGCATGCGTTTTTTTTTTTTTTCTCTTCTTTTCTTTTGGAAATGGGGAGGGAGGAAGGGGAAGAAAAAAAAAAAAATGCATCACTCTGCTGGTTACTTATGCCAAGCCAAATAAAAAGCAACACCAAGGCGATGGGGGAAAAACAAACAAAAAAAAAAAGGCAAAAAGGCAAAACTGCATGAAGTCCGGCAAGCGCACATATGACACACGAGGCGCGAAAGAAGTCAAGTATTAACATAAGCAGCAGACAATAACAATAATAACAATAACAATATATTGAAAACAACAACAACAACAACAAAGAGCCCCCCTGCCCCCCGCCCCTTTTCCTCAATAAATTAAAAATAACAACAAAACACAACACAACGCGGGAATTAAAAGAGAGAAAAAAAGAAGAATAAAACAAAAATTCATGCGAATGGCGCTCGTACGCAGCACGTAAAGGCTGAGAGAAGCCCGCAGGCCACACCCCCTCCACTAAAAAGGAAAAAGAAAAAAAAAAATTAGGGACAAAAACGGCACGAGAAAAACAAAACAAAACAAAACAACCAAAAGCGCATCCCCCCACTCTCCGAGGCTAACGCCGTAATTTCAAGGCAAACGCCTCTCTCTCTCTCTCTCTCTCTTCCCCTTCCCCTTCTCCCACGCCCCTCCAATTCTTTTGCATGGAAAAACACACGGATGATAAAATGAAACTTTAATTTATGTCCCCGGCCCTTCTCCGGCTGTGATGGCGGGTCACAACAAATCGCCCTTCGCCCTTCTTCCCTCCTCCCCACCCAAACGGGGGACTTGACGGATCCAAGAAAGGCCCATCGATACATAAATACATATTGATTGATTGATTGATTGATATAATGATATACTGACATATATAAATATATAAATGTGGCATATAAATCTGTATACATGCATGCGTATACATACATACATATTTCTGTACATCCGCTTTCTTTCCTCTTTAAAAAAAATATATATATATTTGCTTTTTGTTCCTTCGTGCCGCCATAAAACACTTCACGTTGTCCCTAACTTCTTCCCCCTCCCCTTTCCTCTTCTTCCTCCTCTTCTTCCTTTTTCCCTCCTCCTCTTATTACTCTCACAACACACACAAAGGCCGAGGTCCACGCTCATCCACAACGACCCCCTTCCACAAGAGAAAACACATGCACGGGGTAAACAAAAACAAAAAGACACACACGCAGAAATACGGGGGGAAAAAAGAAAGAAAGAAAAAAAAAAAAATCCGCATTACTCGCAGCCAACACATCGATCAAAATAAAGAACCGTCAAAGAATTGGGCCGTTCAGGTGTGTGCTTGCACGTAAAGCGAAGCTGCATGCAACCCGGAACATCGTCTATGCATGTTCGCGTTACGCCCACATTTAATTAAATACTACAGGCCCCCCTCCCCTCCCCTCCAAAAATAAAATCAAATAAAAAGTAAAAAAAAAAAAAAAAAAAAGCCGCGACTGAGTCGCAGGCACCGACATCATAAAAAAAAAAATGATAAAATTACACGCACAAACGCAAAAAGCCAACAACAACGACAACAAAAGGCGAATTGTACGAGATAAGAAGGGAAAAATTAAGAGGAGAGAGAGAGAGAGAGAGAGGGTGAAGGGGGGCGGGAGAAAAATAAGGCTTCCAAAAACATGACGAAAACCATCACATGCAGTACGAACGACGGTGCAAAACGGCACCGAAAAATCAAATAAACTTTTCCTCAAAGAAGAAAAAAAACAAACAAACAAAAAACTCCTGCATCCACAACGTTTGCATGCGCACATCTAGTTGTTACATACATAGGCACTATTTTGGTACAAGGGTAAGGGCACCTTCTATGCTCTGTGTTTTCCCGTTTAAAACCCATTTAACTTCTCGTTTTCGCTTTTGCTCTCTTCCCTCGGAATATTCCGTTTGACGATATCGTCATTTTTTTTTTTTTCCTTTTGATTCCATACATACGCACCCACACACACCGGGTAGATGTCACGTCATTAGCATCTCTTACAAGAAAATGGGTGCCTCAGTGAATTTCTATTTTTTATTTATTTTTCATTTCTTCTCTTCTATCACTTTTATTCGCTCTCTTTTCCCCCCTTTTTTTTTTTCCACCGTGTCTCTCTCGTTTGCCGCCGTCCTTCCCCATCTTTCCTGCGTCGGCGTGCCCGTCAGCCTGGCGGCCGGCCCTTCCATCTACTCGCGGCGACCGTGTGCGTCCATACAAGCACGGGGCAACAAGCAGGCGGGTGCGCACAAAGAAAGAGGAGGGGGAAGACGCACACAACAAACAAAGAAAGAAAAAAGACAAACGCGTGCTTGTGTGGGTGTCGGAGTTAAAATCCATTTGGCTTTTTTTTTTTTTCCCCTTCCCGATCCTCATTTTTGTCAATCTTCTTTCCCCCATTCAACAGCAGCAGACCGCCCCTCTCTTTTCCACCGCAGCCGCCACCCGCAAAAGACCTGAGGCACATGCGAGGTGGCAACGACTAGGGAGGGAAGGCGGGGCGGAAAAAGAGAGAGGCGGATGTGTTGAGCGGAAAGAGACAAGAGAAAGCACATTGCCCAGGAAAAAGATATAATAACGAGCGAACAGTTAAATGTGCGACAGAGGCAACAGCAACAAAATGTACATGACGGAAATCAAAGTAAGTTGAACAAGTCCGGTGCGCCCCACGTCAGTGACGGCAATAAAAAAAAAAAAAAAAAAAAAAAAAAAAAGAAAGAAACACCAAAAAAGAGAGAGAGAGAGAAAAAAAAAGGGGTCGTTGATACTAAGAAGCGTGCACTGATCGCATACGTCATTAACTGATGGGAGCACAGGGGAGGGATGACAAGAGTAGTGCAGTTTGACTCCCGTTATTACTAATCACCACCACTGGTCGTTATCACACACAAAGACAAAAAGGAAAAACAAAAACAAAAACAACCAAATCAACAGATAAAGCAAGCAGCACACAAATAAACACACGCACACACACACAAAAAAAAAAAAAAAAAAAAGACAGAGCGATGCAATGGGGACGGAGGAGCACCATTCACTTCGACTTGTTTCTCTTCTGTGGCGGAAAAGGTAGGGACACGTGTCTATTCACACGTCACCCCGTCCGTCCCCCTTTGCTTTTACTCATGCAATCGACAATGCTGCTGATATTCCTCGGCGGAAAGAACAACAACAACAAAACAAAAACAAAAACAACAAAGGAACATCGTCCTCCGCACATACACACGCAAACACACACACACACACACACCAATCCCTTTCTTTTTCCCCTATTCCCCGCCAATTGTAGAAAGCAAGCGTATCAAAAATTGTGCACGCAGGCTGAATCTCCCTACCCCATCCAGCAGACCCCTCCCTTCCCTTCCCCTGTGCAGCCCAATCAGGCAAAGCTCGCACCCATACACGCATCTGCGGCCCGGGAGAGGGCAGGGGAACAGGCAGGGTGACGATGGGAGACGTGCAATGCAGCCGCGCACGGGAAACAATAATAATAACCCAAGAAGAAACACCAGAATAAAAAAAAAATCAGCACCACCAATAAGTAATCAAAAGCAGTCCATAAAATAAGGCAAAAACCAATATACGTAAATAAAAACAAAAACAACGACAACAACAAACATGGAGAAAAAGTAAAACGTGTAAAAAAGAAAAAGAAAAAAAAAATGGCCGCTCCCAACTTGCTTTATCGGATCTTATCCAAATCCCTCCTTCCTTCATTCCTCTTCCCTTTCATTCCTTCTCTGCAGACGATTTCTTCTTATCTCTTCCACCCGCTTTTCGCGCTGAATAAATCGTAGACGGGCATTTCCCCCCTCCCCACCCCTCTCTTTCATTATTATTATGAGCCCCCTCCTCGTTTGGTTCATTCGTCCCCGCTGCCTCTACCAACCGCCCCACGTCACCGAGCCACCACAGCGGACAGTAGTCAAAGCACTCCACATCCCCCCAAAAACAACAACAGAAAACTTCAACTAACGCGAGTTGGTGGGGGAACACCACGAGGCAGTGAGACACCCCCACGAAGGAGATGAAGAGGCAGGCAGGAGGAGGAGGAGGAGGAAAAAAATGCTCCGACGAAAAAAAAAAAAAAAAAAAAAAAAAGAAAAGAAAAAAGGTTTGAGTCCGCAATTCAAGCACACATTTTTTTTTTTTTTGTTTCCTTTTGAAATATTTCGTTACGCCACTCCAAGTTATTTAGCCGCATTTCTTCCTCTTTTCCTTTTTTTTTCCCCTCCCTCTTTTCTCTGCAGCGTCGCCTGCTCGCATCCCCTCCCCCTTTTTCCTGGAGTTCATTCTTCTTCTTCTTCCGTCCTCTCCCCCTATCTCCGCATCGATTTAAATTTTCCTGCAGCGTTTTCGCTTCCTTTTTTTTGTGATGCGTCCCAAATGCACAAAAACACGCACACCAACCCCACCTCTATTTTTAATTCTCGCGCAAATCCTTTTTTCTTAACTTTTTCGTTTTTCTTTATTTCTTTTTTAAAATATTCCTTTTTTTTTTTTTAGTCGCAACAGATTTTCCTTCTCTTCTTTTATCCCCATTCATCCCTCGTGAGCGCGTTGTTTATAACGGGCGGTACCTTCCATTGGCCCAAAAGGGAAATATTGAATCAGGAAGGCCGTCTCGCTACATGTCGTATTGGATACTCTCTCCCTCACACACACCCAGGGCCATACACGCTCCACTTTTACTTTATACCTGCGTTGTCATACAGTACCGTGCATACATAGAGCGAAAAGCTCTTATTCTTTTGACACAAATCCATTTCCAACCAATGTTAAGAAGAGAGAGAGGAAGGGTTACTCTTCTCCGTGGTACATGGCGTACGGGTTGTTGCGCCGCGTGGGGCTGATCATCCGCATCTTGCCACTCATGTCCATTGTTGCCTGATTAGGGAAAATCATTCGCGATGGCAGAATACTTGGAGTTGCTTCACCAGATGCTTGATGCTCCTCCCGTGCCATGAATACAGGGTTGTTACTCTCCGTGCCACTGTTGCTTAACATTGGCTCCCCTACAGTTCCCTGGTTGACTTTTGGCGACGCAGCGTCAGTTGCCCCAGTAAAACGTTGTGCAACCATAAGTGCCACCTGGCTACCACTCATCCAAGGACCGTTGTGGCGAACACGAGGGTTCACAGTAATATCGGAGCTGGGAGAATCGCCACGAGATGTGCTATTGGGGCTTACTTCCCCCACAATCGAGTTAACAGGCGATCCGGCGGTATCTGTGACAACATGAAGAAAACGACAGCTTTCACCCCTTCGACAGAGATGATTGGTTCGAAAATGGGCACAGTGTTGCATCTTCTTCTTGGGAATTGTTCCCTCAGCCTCAAACGCCGTCAAGTACTGACGTGAACCCAACGTCAAAAGCACTTGATCACCAGGATAATCAACAAAGGAATCTTTACTGTTCTGTTCAAAAGCACGCACTGTAATATTTGCCGGAAGGCGAGGATAGTTCGCTAGCAGCTCCGGCTCTGCAATATGTGTGGTGTTGCTCTCCATGTTCCAAACATCATTACGAATGGCGTGAATATCATCGCAGGCTTCTCCCAGACTGCATTCTCCACGGGTTAGCATACTCTCACAAAGCTTAAATTTGGCTTTAAAGTTATCTCCATGTTCGTTATACATCTTCACATATTCACGGCTGCCACGAGTATTTAAGACAAATTCGCTCTGTATTGGGTAATACTGCGTCATTCTTGGACCGTAGCAGTGAACAATAAATCCCGGTTCAAACAGACCCGTGCTCCTATTAATGTCGGGTGTAATGTAGGTCCATGTGTGTTCTTTCGGAACATGTACCTTGGTACATGACTCGCCATATGGGCAGCTTTGAGCATACATAAAATCCTCGCAGACAGCTGCACCACTTTGTGCCTTTGCGAGGGTCGGAAGAACACGGTTTAGGCGTGTACAAACCACAGTGTTGCTGCGGGGGCACACCAACCGTATCGTGTGATGGCGATCAAAATGTAAAGGGGCGCCCATGTTACCACCCCGACCTCCACTCACGGGACTTAAGTTGCTGTTTCGGCGACCCGGAATATGCTGGTATTGGTGATAATTCTGGTGCTGCTGTTGGAACCCTCCCTGTCCCCCGCGGTACATGGGCTGCTGAATACTTCGCGGGCTAGTGCGCATCATTGTTACTGCTGAATTCTGAATAAATTCCGTCTGTGCGTAAGCAGTCGTGAGGATGGTTGCAACGGGCTATTTGGCTAGTTGGCTATTTACTCCGGGCAAGTTACGAGAAGTACGTCTTCCTGAGCACAAGTACAGCAACAGACGCACACACACACACACACACACACACACACACACACACACACACACACACACAAAGGCAAAAAAAAAACAAAAAACAAGGGCAAGCCAACAAGGTGGGAAAAAATAGTACACAACAAAGAGAGATGCGCAACAACACACAACAACAAAACACAGAGAAAAAAAAAAAGAAGAAGCGGACAAAAAAAAAAAAAAAAAAGAAACGACACATTTTTTGTTTTTTTGTTTTTGCTATTTGATAGCGTAGTGGTGCTTTAGATGACTTCTCCGACTTTATTTCGTCTTTTGGTTACGCTTCATTATTATTATTATTATTATTATTATTTTTATTATCATTTTTCCTTTGTTTGCTCGTTGTTTCTTTCTTTCCCCCCACTAAGCCCCAAGCTGTGGGGCCATTAGAAGGGGAATGGGCAGGCAAACATGCAAACAAACGAGAAGCAGCAACGGGCTGGACGTAGAGAGAGAGAGAGAGAGCAAAGGGCAAAGGGCAATGAATACACCCAGCACAAACAATCGTAAGGTGGAAAACCACCCAAACACACACACACACACATTTGCTTCGTGCAGTCGGAAATCGCAACAAAAAGGAGGCGGGAGGGAAGAAAAACAAAAAACAAAAAAAAAAAACCCAAAACAAACAATAAAGACGACAAAATGATGGCATTGACGGAAAAATACAATTTTTTGGGTTTGCATTAATACACGTATAATTCACTCACACACTCTCCATCTCTTTTTCTCTCTTTTTCGTTCCATTTCACTCAAACACACTCTCCCTGTGTGTGTGTGTGTCTTGCCGGGAGCCCTTTGATCACTGAAGATGTCACATGAATCAACACGCACACACACATGCAACAAACAAAAAAAGAAAGAAAAGAACATACATGCGGACACAGATAAGAAGAGCTCGAAGGAGTACATGTATGTGAGCGTAGCAGCAATACAAAAACAGAAACAGTAGAGAAGAAAGAAAAAAAAAAAAAGAGTATACAACAGTGACAGCCTCTGCGTCTAATGTTCCTAAAACTACATTTATATAAATATTTATACTCTTCTCCTTTTCTCTTCTGCACCTGCCACCCACCCACCCACCACGCCGATGTTATTCCTTCAATACAACCCTCAATTCTCATCATTTTACCTCTTCTCTAATCGCTCTTGTTCTGTCAACTTCGGTGCTCCTCTCGCTTGTGTTCCTTCGGTCGCCGTCTCTTTTCATTTGTTTTTGTAAACGCACCGGATGTCACGGAGCACATAGACCACACTTTTTTGTTTGTTGTTTCCCCATGCAGTTCACTCCCAGCGGAAAGCGAGTCAACAGAGACAAGTGCTGTCACAGCGACACCGCGCCCCAACGGAATGATAGACAGACAGACAGACAGACAGACACCCCATCCGCTTATGTGTCCCGCGTCATGCCATCCAATCTACATGCCAACATACATATTTATATATGTTTTAAAAAGACGTCAACATCGTGCGGTAAAACACACACACACACCCACCAAAAAAAGGAGAAAAGAGGGCCTTTGGCCCCAACAATCCTCTCTACACCACGTCGATGCTCCTCCGCCCTCTCCTCCGGCACCCCACACCATTTACTTTCGCGCCTGCCAGAAAAGCAATGAAATTCACCTCTCGACCACCCATTTCCGCATCGGGCTACCGTACGCACTGAAACGACTACTTTTCTGGGTGCATGTGTGCGTC